CATGTCACAATGTTTGACAATTCCCATCAATGTCACAATGTTTGACAACTCCCATCAATGTCACAATGTTTGACAACTCCCATCCATGCCCCCATGAATGACAACTTCTTTCAAAACCACCATGAATTTCATTCACCTCTGCCATCTTCATCTAAACCTTCCATCAATACAACCATGATGAATGACAACTTCCATTGAGGTAATCATAAACCACATCTTGACAATCATTGTAAGCAAGAAAGACATTTTCCACATGAACTACTATAAAAAGCAAGCTTTCATCAATGATACATGACAACTTAAATGACTGCCACATTGAAACTCTGTCCACTGTTATCTTTAGCCAAACCTTCCACCAAAGTAACCATGAATGACAACAACCATCACAGCCACCATGAACCACAATTTCAATCAATATACCCATGAACCATAACTTTCATCAATGCATCCATGAAAGATAACTTCCCTTTCCTTCACGAAAGACAATTTCTATCTCAATCACAACTTGATGATGATATCTCTAATTAACATGAAAGACAACTTACACTATTGTCACCATAAAAGGCAATGTCATCACTACAACTGTGAAAGACACAACTTCCACGATTGGCACCCAAAGGAAGGTCATTTCTAAATACAGCTTCCCTGCGTGCCAGCATCCCTCACTCTGATAAGTATTAATGGTCGCTGTGATGAATATCTACTAACGTGAGCAGAAAGTGTTCCGTTGTAGCTCCATTACAAGTAAACCTCGCCGAGATCAATACTATAGTACTATTGGCTCAAGTTCAAATGGCAGGACATTTGCATTTTGAATTATATTCAATACATTAAGTAGACTGCATATGTATGGAAATTCAATTAACTTTTGAAAAAGATTATTTCTGAAATAATGCAAATTTCGCAACTATGAGTAAAACTGGTCCAGCACACTGGCAGATCTTCAGATGTATTGTACTACAAGACAGTGTACAGTGCTGTAATGGAGATAGGTAATAGAATAAATACTGCAGAAACAGACAAAAATCTAATAAAAGTATAAAAACTAGACAATATCTCTTAGACATGAATGCCCCCGCTAGCTACTTTCCTTGTGCCTGCCAACTTCATTTCCATGATGAAGAAACATCAAATTGTTTGATGTGTGTGTGTGTTCCCAGTTTCTTTCAAATCAGGAAAAAAGGGAAGCCAGTTGAGCAATGACAACAAATTATATATTTACAGTAATTTATTTTATAGTAACAGTGACTGCATATGACCCTGAAACACAAACTCATTTGATGAAGCCAAAAGAAACTTAATCACAATGTATTCAAGCGTCATTAAATAAGCAGGTTTTCTAGACTAGTTTCGCGTGTGGTTAAAAAAAAAAGAGGCTTCATCAGGACAAACTCATTTGAGGTATTTTTGTATTTCACACGTGTACAAAGTTTCATCAAATTTAAATGAAAAGTGAAGGCGGTAGAATGATGAAGGCAATGTGTGATGGACATATCTCTAAGGCTAACATTAAATGTCTCCTGTTTTATAACAGGGCTTAAAAGTATAAAATGTCACACTAATAAAATAGCCCCTCAGTATTAATTGCTCTCTTGGTGGTCAAAATGTCTTACTTGCAAATTCTTAAAATGGACAAAACTCATATGAAACAGTGTGTACTTATAATTAAGAATTCACAGATTTTTTTCATGAATTATAAACAATTATGTTCTAATTCAATTGATTACACAGTAAAACTTGGATATACAGCCACCTGTCATCCAGAGAAATTATAGTGTTATAAAGAAATTTAGCAATATATTGAAGGAATGTATAATGGAATTCTAAATAATATGAGAAAAGGAGACCTTAAATTATGTTGGCAGTAAACGAGGTGGCATATGTAATGAGGGGCATTATATTGAGGTTTTACTGTACACTTTATTATAAGCCCATATATGGTTGTCAATCAAGTGAGAGGTGATTTAAATATACCAACACACAATGAAGGAATATGTTAGTATATCTAATCAATATCACCAGCCACATGTAATGGCAATAATACATCAGTATCACAGAGTTAGCATGAATTCAATGAGCCTTTAGGGCAGGAGGTACTGTAGGGGGAGCCCCTAGGGCAGGAGGTACTAAAGGGGGAGCCACTAGGGGAGGGGGTACTGTAGGGGGAGCCACTAGGGGAGGAGGTACTGTAGGGGGAGCCACTAGGGCAGGAGGTACTAAAGGGGGAGCCACTAGGGGAGGGGGTACTGTAGGGGGAGCCACTAGGGGAGGAGGTACTGTAGGGGGAGCCACTAGGGCAGGAGGTACTTAAGGGGGAGCCACTAGGAGAGGGGGTACTGTAGGGGGAGCCACTAGGGCAGGAGGTACTGTAGGGGGAGCCACTAGGGCAGATGGATACTATAGGGGGAGCCAATAGGGCAGGAGGTACTGTAGAGGGAGCCACTAGTACAGCCACAAGAGGGAGCAGTTATAGAAGATAACCAAGGGAGCTAATAAGGTAGCTACTAGAGGGAGCATAAATAGGGGGTAACCAAGGGGAGCAACGATAATAGCCTCAGCTATATAGGGAGTATAACCCAGGGGAACCCAGTTATTTTACAACAATTATGAAACAAGTTATAAACATATATCAATTACTGCTGTTGGCCCGGATAGAAGAAACCTGGGGGTCTTCACCCTTTCAACCCTATGTAACTTTAGTAGACTCTACCATGCATTGATCTGGATGAGTACATTATGGTCTACAGTGGTGAAAGAGTTAATGGGGGATGAAGCTGGAGTACCCAGAGGAAACAGACTTTGCCAGGCAGGTGATCCTATACCTTCTCACGTCTGATGGAACTATTGGGGTTGGGGGGTTGGGGGGTTGGGGCACTGTGAAGGCATCTCAGGGGGGTACTAAGAATGGAGTCACCATGCATTTCCTTACTGTATTGAGTGATACACAACATATTAATGGAGGAGACACGATACTTGATAGTCCTTTCCATGTGTCTCTTTTCTACACACAACTTGTATATATTTGATGAGACGTAATATTTTCATGCCATTTTCAAGTAAAGAGTATGTCTTTTCCAATTATAGTAACTCACAAATATTACTTCAGACTCATCAAGTCAAACATTTTGTATGACTGTCATTGCATGATTCAAAATATCCAAAGTTTACAGTAAAACCTTGATATAAGGCCAACATTTCATATGCCACCTCACTTTCTGCCAACAATTTCAAGGCCCCCTAGCTTCTCCCTTTTTCATAAGAATTCCTTTGCATTTCTCAACTGATAGGTCGCCAAACCAAACCTTTTATAATGCCAATGTCTAAAGTAAAAATACAAATGTTGGCAGTATGACAAGGTTTTACTGAAAATTGTTCGCAGTATAACAAGGTTTTACTGAAAATTGTTCGCAGTATGACAAGGTTTTACTGAAAATTGTTCGCATTATAACAAGGTTTTACTGAAAATTGTTCGCAGTATAACAAGGTTTTACTGACAATTGTTGGCAGTATAACAAGGTTTTACTGAACATGAAAGCAAAGCACAGCAACAAATGGAAGCCTTTTACGGGGTAATACGTTTTAAGTTAGAGACGAAGATACTGCAAACTTTAATGATAAATAGCACACAATATACTACAAATAGCACACATACTACAAATAGCACACATACTGCAGAGTGTTATGATAAAAAGTTGAAAACTGAAGGCTGAAATGACAGCTAAGATACTGCCGAAATAATCCAAATCAATACAACTGCATAGATAAAACATGAGTTTGAGAAGAAAATTCCACCGAGAACACTATTCGTTGAGTTATTGACTATAACACAATGCCCAAACTATTATACCATCACATACAAAACTCATTAAGAAAAAAAAACTTGAAAATGATTCATTGCAAATGACATGTCTAATTTTTAAATGCGAATGTCGAACACACACATAAACAGACCAATTTAATGTATATGATAAATGCGAAATGTGTCTAGCTTTTTCACTTTATGGCGGTTCCGTTCCTTTAAGATACAGTGATTATCTTAGATGGTCCCGTCATTATGCTCCCTTCCATCTTCTCAAACTTAGACAGGGTCATGTGACAGCACTGGGTTTAAGATAGTCTACAAGGATACTCCATTAAGAAGAGGTAGATATAACAATTACCTAATGCCTAACTGTTGTGATCTACATTTGCCTAACTGTTGTAATTTGTATTTGTCTAACTGAATGTTTCAAATGCTGCAGTTCAATAAGGTAAATATATGTATAGTTCTGTACCCAATTTTTGTTTTCATTATGCAACAAATGTCTTCACTGAAGAGAAGAGAAAAGAAAAGCATGAAAAAAATCTACAGACGAAAGATGTTCAGTTGAGTGTATGATATGGTACATCGAAAACCCAAAATCTTATATAATTTGATGATTTCATTATTCCAATATTTAATTTCAAAACTTAATCATTTAATGTGACAAATTGTGTTTTTATTAACCTTGAATTGTTGAATATTGAAAAGAATTTTTGTCCGAAATAACTAACAAGGTTCCGAAGTACATGTACCATCTATCACTGAAGTGTTTCGTACACAAGAAACCAGTCTAAAGCAAACTCCATTAGACTTTGGGTAAAACACTTTTGACCTAACTAGATGGCTTGTTTATGCAGGTTTTCAAACTATCCAATGTTCAGTTTAAACAGGTTTCATTGTAAAGGTTAATAGAGTATTCATTTAACTGTGAACAACCACACACAGATCAGTGCCTGACATTGACCGCTCAATCAGGTCAACCAGGTCAAAAAGAAATAACAAAATGGCTATCACAACAAACTGGTGTTGCTAGGCTACTAAATCTTAGGTTATGCAAAATGAACAAAACAAACAAATCCAAAATAAAAATTAACATGCAAATAATTTGCAAAGGTGTAAAATTGAATAGTGAAATGTATACAGCATCACCGATACAGGTAAATCATGTAAACAAAAACAGCAATTTGTGAGTTCTTACCTTCCTGGGCTGAACCTAAGATCAGGAAATCAAATAATTATTGCTCTATCATATCCGTCCATATCAAGTCTTATTTCCTCCCCGCCCCAGCTATGCCTTCCCTGTATAAACATTGTTGTGATATACCTTATACATCATAGGACCGACAATTCAAACAATGAGAAAACCGGCCATTCCTCCTCTCCCCACTTTTCCATCCCATGAGATAACCTCATACTGGCAGTTCAAGCAATTGCTTTGTATGTGGCCAGAGAATGCAATCACTGGCTTCAACCTTTATTTCAACTTCATTCTTGGTTAATTTTTTCCTATAGAAAAATTGTCTGGAGTCAAAATAAATATTCCTTTCTAAAATATATACTTTTATTGTAGTATTGTGATCTGTTGTATAAGTGTGGTCTTTCTTAACAGTTTTTACCATAGATGACTATTATATAAGGTTGTCGAGAGATGGTGGTTTATCTAGACAGGTTTTTACTTAAATTCTGTTCTATTAGTAGTCTCTCTAGACAGGTTTAACTGTAGCGGTCTATTATGAAAGGGCAATTTGTGTGGCCAGAGATTAAATGTAACTGTCTATTCTATAAAGGTGGTTACTCTAGACAGGTTTTACTGGTCTGTTTTATAAGAGTTGTCAGTGTAAACAGGTTTTATTGAAGTGGTCTGTACTTTAAGGTAGATCATTCTTGATAAGTTTCATTGTATCATTCTTTGGTCAATAAAGGGGGGGGGGGGGGGTCTTTATAAGGGTATAGAGTATATAGGGTAAGGGTCTATTCTACAAGGGTGCTTTTTATCAGGACAGATTTAACTTAATTCACCCCTACATATTTAAACTGGACTTGCCCAGTCTTTGATTTTGTAAGGTTCAAATGTGATTTTAGGGGTGAATGGGTTAAACTTAAGTTCTGCTGTATAAGAATGGTCTTTCTAGACAGGTTGTACTTCAGTGGTTAGTTCAAGGAAGATTGTCTCTCAAGATCTCTTGGATAAATAAAGAAGCTGGTAATGAAATGTAAAGTACAAGAGAGTATGTTTACGGTAACGCTCGGGGAGAAGGATCAGCTTGTCGGGCCATGGTTATATAGCTGTGATGATGTGCCGCGCGGCCATTTAAACACTGGCCAATCAATACGGCTTGCTCACTAACAGTGTTCTACATGCTTGGCGAACCCTCGGGAAATCCAATCGTAAATATACTCCTATTTTTACAGCCCCCTTGGGATTGCCATTTCGACATTTTATCACACAGTTATAAGAAAAAAGTTCTTCTTCAGCGTTATTTTTTTCTATTGATGTTTAATACAATTATCTGTACTTTCTTGCATGACTGTCCATAATAACACATTATGCATTTCTGTAACAGTAAAACTTCCTATAGAAATTATATTACTGTTTTAAAAGCGTACTAAATGTGTATGCCTTTATGTTCTAACACATACTTGGGTTTCATACTGACATTTTACTGTAGTTTTAGAGAATGGCAGGTTTACAAGTTTTCATGAACATATCAATCAATCATGTTTAATATCCAGGCAATTTACTGAGTCAACACTTATCCATCAACATTCAGAGTTTGACATTTACATGGCCACAATAACATATGAAAATTACATAATACAGTGTATAAACAGGACCAATTGCAACCTAATGAAAGTTATAATGAAATGAAGCAGATTTGATTAAAATCACATGGTAATGATGCAGGTTTGGTGAAAGTTGTATGATAGAGATTCAGTCTTTATCAGAGTCATATGATGATGGCGTGGATTTGATGAAAGATGCTGATGTGATGAAGTAAGTTATTGAGTTCTTCACGGCCCATCAACGCAGAAGAGGTCTTTATAGGGCCAATAAAATGATGTGATGATAGTAACAAGGTAACAAAGCTGACATGATAAACAAGAGATCCCAGAGGGATCTTGGCGCCCACCTTTATACCATCTTCATTAGTTCTTTGTCAGTTCGATCTTTTCTCTTCTTTCCTCTAATCTGTTTGATCGAGTCATGTTAACAGTAAATGCACCTTGAGGTAACTTTTGATCTAAACTTAATCCAGATGTGTATGAAAGCCAACCTTCAAAGTGAGTTTGTCATTTCACATATTTACTAGTACAGTACTTAATGTGAAAGAAATAGAATCGATCATTGCATTATGAGATCTGTTTAGTTCTTCTTTTAATCCATTTTGTTTTTATGATCAGTCTCAAAATATAACATGCACAATGAGAGATCAATGGGAACCTACATATAAAATTTGAGAAAGATCCCTTCCCGAGACATAGCGATAACAAACTTTCACTATCAAAATCCAAGATGGCTGCCTGTAGGCCATGTTGTTTATCCGATCAGTCTCAAAAGTTGCCCTGCACAGCTTTGGACTATGGGGAACTTACATATAAATTTGAGAAAGATACCTCTAGTACTTCTTGGGAAATAGCGATAACAAACTTTCAATATCAAAATCCAAGACGGCTGCCTGTCGGCCATGTTGTTTACCCGATCAGTCTCAAAAGTTGCCCTGCACAAAAAAGGACCAAGGGTAACCTTCATATAAAATTTGAGAAATATCCCTCTAGTACTTCTTGAGAAATAGCGATAACAAGAATTGTTTAAGGACAGACGACGGACCACGGACGGACCACGGACCACGGACGCAGGGTGATTTGAATAGCCCACCATCAGATGATGGTGGGCTAAAAATACAGTGTAATAACACTAGTGATGAAAGTTACATGGTAATGATGCTGATGTGATGGAAGTTACATGGTAATGATGCTGATGTGAAGAAATTTACATGGTAGTGATGCAGATCTGACGAAAGTTACATGGTAATGATGCTAATGAGATGAAAGTTACATGGTAATGATGCTGATGTGATGAAAGTTACATGGTAATGATGCTGATGTGAAGAAATTGACATGGTAATGATGCAAATGTGATGAAAGTTACATGGTAGTGATGCTGATGTGATGAAAGTTACATGGTAATAATGCTGATGTGATGAAAGTTACATGGTAATAATGCTGATGTGATGAAATTGACATGGTAATGATGCCGATGTGATGAAAGTTACATGGTAATAATGCTGATGTGATGAAATTGACATGGTAATGATGCAGATGTGAAGAAATTGACATGGTAATGATGCTGATGTGATGAAAGTTACATGGTAATGATGCTGATGTGATGAAATTGACATGGTAATGATGTTGATGTGATGAAAGTTACATGGTAATGATGCTGATGTGATGAAATTGACATTGTAATGATGCTGATGTGATGAAAGTTACATGGTAGTGATGCAGATCTGACGAAAGTTACATGGTAATGATGCAGATCTGACAAAAGTTACATGGTAATGATGCAGATCTGACGAAAGTTACATGGTAATGATGCAGATCTGACGAAAGTTACATGGTAATGATGCAGATCTGACGAAAGTTACATGGTAATGATGCAGATCTGACGAAAGTTACATGGTAATGATGCAGATCTGACGAAAGTTACATGGTAATGATGCAGATCTGACGAAAGTTACATGGTAATGATGCAGATCTGACGAAAGTTACATGGTAATGATGCAGATCTGACGAAAGTTACATGGTAATGATGCAGATCTGACGAAAGTTACATGGTAATGATGCTGACATGATGAAATTTATATGGTAGCGATGCTGACATGATTAAATTAACATGGGAATGATGCAGACTCAGAAGCTAAACGTTTATGTTGCTGATATGATCAGTGACGTGTTGATGTGATCAAAGTTACATGGTAAAGATATTTGAAGAAAACTTACATCTGACAAAACTGTTACCTAGTATATACCCAATCCTATACTGTCAAATGACTCACCTGGATCATTTTAAATTGCTTCCTCAAGTAAAGGAACATAATAGTGATATAGTTGAAACAAAACCACATGTATACAAATGTTTTCTCAGATTGAGCTAGAAACCTACTGAGTTGTGTTTTATAACACAATCTGATTGATCCTTCAGCCATTCTGTTTGACACACAAGTCTATCGTCTGTTTGACATCACTTGTTTCAAACCATAGTCTTTCACCAGTTTTACGCAAGTCTATCACCTGCTTCACACAAGTCAATTGTCTTTGTTACATCACTGTGAGTCAATCAGCAGCATTATACCTGTTATCGAGTCACCTAAAGATATCTCACCTGTGTTCCTGTCCATCATCAGTTGACAGGTCAGGCGTGGCAGGGAAGTCACGCTTTAGTAAACCAGTGGTCAGCTTCAGCAATGACTGAAAACACACAAGATACATATTGTTAAGGTTACAGGCTACCTTGAACATTATTTATACCAAGGTTTGTATTAGAATTATCTCCCTTGAGGTTATCCTTACACATTATACTGTGATTTGTGTTGGAGTTATCTCCCTTGAATATATATATATTCTTCCTTACAAATGATATAAGGGACTGGTGTTAGAGATAAGGTTGTTGGTACCTAAAATATTGTATCTATGATTTGTGTTAGAGTTATCTCCCTTGAAAATTTCTAGACAACATTACTTGAAAACTAATACTACTTGGACCAATGCATGCATTGTTGTCTACTTTAGAAGTGTCATTGATTGATAAAATGAGTCTAGATATCCATTTAAAAAGAAAAGAATTCTTTGACCATTTTTTTCCCTACAGAACTCTTTTGTGAAGAAGATGTGTGTCATCATTAAGACAACTTGCATCCTTAACTCTTTCCGTACCGCAAATCCGGTCCGGATTCTGTACCGGATGTCCTTACTAGACTCGCCCCCGCGCAAATAACAAAATTGTGGATTAATTATGTTCTTTTTAGACAAGGTGTAATTGCTGCAAGAATTAAACAGGTCATCGTGAACAAATATTGTTATTTTTTCAAGTTGTTGTTTATAGACACACACTTCTTCATTTTCGCAGCATTATGACTAAATGGCATCTAATTATGACTGAGAAATCGACATCTGTTCGGCAACAAATGATACGAAACCTTGTTTTAAAAACAGCATTGTAGTGGAGGTTCCTAAAAGGGATTGATAGTTGTTTACGAATACGAAGTCGTTAGGTTTTGTTTCTAATTACAAGTAGATTTCATTAGGACTTATATTAAAATATTCATATTTACTTCTATAAGTCTAAAAAAATATTTGGTGATGAATTTGCGCGTATTCATATCAAATTAAGTTGCCGCCATATTGTTTATATTTGAATCACCAAACGCACACATCTTGCGGCAGATTCGACAACAATAGGTCACAAAATATAAATTATGTACTCTGCACCTATAAAACTATTTCTTTCAAACTGATGGGTGCTGATTTTAGCGACAAATAATTGTATTGCGCGATTGTCGTGTGCGATAACCAGCTAAACATAAGACAAGTTACACCAAAGTATGTTGTCGTGTGTACACGACAACGGGGATGAGACAGCCTATTATTTTGTCAGCTGTACACGACAACGGGGATCAGGATGACATATTGTTGTCGTTTGTACACGACAACGGTACGGAAAGAGTTAATATTACCTACAGAAACCATACCAGTTTTAGCACTCAACACAGACTAAAGCAAGGGGCAATAAACTGGTTTCTCTCTTTCATTAAGACTCAAATCAATGTAACACTTCCTAAAGATAAGAACAAAGTGAACAAAAGGGTCAAACATGACTTTTGACCCTTTAACCTAAACCGATGAATACTAAAATCTGATCAGGTGTAGAGTTTTATGATACCGTAAAATGGCTTAAATATAAACCAAATGTTTCCAAGGATCATAGATATCTTGAAAACAAGCATTTTACTACAGACGCACCGAAGCATGCACACTGAAACACACTGACAAGGCGAAAACCAACGTTAAGGTCAACCAGTCTCTAGCATTTTAGCTTTTAATCACCTCTGCAGACGTCAAACAACTTTTAACATTAGAGACGTCGACAAACTATAGACTTTTTCAACAGACATCAGCCGATCAATAACCAATCAAAATTATTTCTCTACTACGTTAACCAATTGTGTGTGCTGTCAACAGACATCTGCCAATCAAAGGACAATTATGTCCCCTGGATGTAGACAATTGCCAATGAAACAGTCATTTGATTTCCATATCAAAGAAAACAACAAATCGCAGTATATCAGGAGACATCATACAGGTTTGGATGGTACTTTAACCGAGACATCTCAGATTTACGATTGGACGCAATCAGATGATAGGCATAAATAAGTCATATTTCATTAACCAGATATGTCTACCGTCAGAGAACGCATTGATCGGGGATAAATCGGTGAGACAAATCCTGTAGCTATTCTCCGAATAATAGACAAACTTCTGCAGCCGGGATGAACACTAATTGCGTAACGATTTTGTACACTCCCCAGTCATCACCACTGTAGCACATTTTGTAATCTGATTTATTTCTCTGTTATCTGACACCACTAAGTGTTTTATACATCAATCTCTTCAAGTTCCACAATTCTGTAATGTCATTTTTTTGTATCTAACATATTAGCAATCCACCACCTTCAGAATGATTGTATGTCCAAGTTAATAAATGATATTAAGCACATTAGGGCTTGAATTACAGACGATCCTATTTTGTATCTCTTGTTAAAACTCATAATGCCAAGGGGAGACAACAAAGCATCATAAACATAGCTCGATTTAAATCTCTTAAAGGACTAGGTATGGTTTGGGCGTGTTTTGTGCCCCAAATGCATCAAAATTCAAAACCTTTAAATGAACTTTCAAACAACTGTTTCTTTAATTTGAATACTCCCCAATTACTATCATGAACATATCTATTTGTATTTCTAATTATTGTTGTCATGGTAACAAGTTCAAATATGCATAAAATAGAAAAATTTGAATATTCAGTGAATATTGTCATATTTTGCATAGTTTTTTCTCCTGGAAACTATAGAGCGCATGCTTGAACAAACTTAATATCAAAGGATAATGTGTAGGCACCTGTAATACATCCTTAGGAGAAATATAAAGTTTGTTCAAGACTGTGCTCTATGGAAGCTTAGAGAAAAATTAGTCGAAAACCTATCAAAATTGACTGAAAATTAAAATGTCATTAATTTATGCAAAAAGTAACTGGCTACCATGGCAGCCATAATTGAAAACACAAATAAATGTTTACATAATAGTACCAGGGAAGTATTCAAAATTAAACAAACAGTCATTTGAAAGTTTTATTGAAGATTTTTAATTTCGATGGATTTGGGGGCCAAAAAGGCCCAAACTATATAGTCCTTTCTATTTTCCCTACTAGAGCCTTAGCTGGAGATCAACCTTTGATTTCCCACTTTTGAAATCCTTTGAGAAATCAACCTTTAATTTTCCAAGTTAGAATCACTTTTTCCCTGTTGGGACCCCCCACTAATGGTCAAACCTCATTTCCCCCTGTTAAGGCCCCCAACCTCAAAAGAGAGGTCAACCATGAATCTTTCCCCTACTAGAAACCCCTAAATTAAGCCAACCTTCCCCCATTGGAACCCCTATGAAGGGTTTACCTGAAATGTCTCCCGTTGGGACTCCCTAAAGGAAATTAACAGTAAATATCTCCTGTTGGAAACACTTACAAGAGGCCAACCTAGAATTCCCTGTTTGGAATTCTATTAGACCTACCAGGTTCAGAGGTCTAGCATTAACTTTTATTTTTTTGAATTTGTAACTACAAACCAGCTTTTTCCATTTTTATTCATTCAAATGATATTTCATTCCAGATGTGTATGAATTCTACAGAGTTGTTCTTCCGACAAGAATTAGCCGATCGGCAGATATAGCATGTCACATGACCTCAGACATGAAGTTAGCCTCTCAGTGAAGAAGAGCTACGATTGATCTCCAGCCACAAATCAGACAGATCATTTTTAAACTTTTTGCCCTAATGGATGAGGCATTGGGTTAAAGCCATTAAGTGCAGCCCAGATAAAAGAAGAATTGTCCCACCAGGGTTGTTAAAACACGGCATCTAGGCTGTGATCTCTTTACATCTGGTGCCTCCATCATTAGACACGTAGTGCAGACTACACAGGGCTAGGAAACTTGCAGGTAGGGAGAGGTTCCGTTAGTGTCGGAGATAACGCCAATCCGATAAAGTTGTGCCATATTATCTTGTACATAAAAACACGAAAGTCACTCCCTTGATTGAACCTCATTGACAGTAAACGTGTAGATACAGACTAGGACAAAAAATTGTCAATCGATTAAAAAGTATTTATCTTGGTCACGAGAAGGAACATCTGCCTAATTCTGCTGCTTTGACTTCACTTTAAAGAAAACGGTCCTGACCGACATGTGCTGTATAAGGACCTAAAAAAATCTATATCATATACTTAAGGATTCCTGTCCCGTTGCATTGTGGTTTTTCCTTTAACTTCTGTTTTGGATATAACCGTAGCACAGTTGGTCCAGGACACTTTCGTTTACCAGGTAGCTCAGCCAGTTAGAGCGACAGTATAAAAATTTGAGGCTCCGGGTTAAAGTTCTGGTCCAGCCACTCTGCCACACTAGGAACACTGTTATTGATTAGTTTTGTATATTTCATCTCTATTATTATTTCATAAAAGGTATAGGTTTTTTTTCGGAATTATCTATCAAATTAAGCTATAGACATACCAGAAACAAAGTTTCGATTGTTTAGTTTCAGTTTTTTAGCAGTGGTGTGGGGCTCCTTAAGGACCCGTCCCATTTCAGGCAAAACACTAGAGAATTCTACTGTATGTTTTTTGTACATAGAGTAACTTCCCCTTGATTTTATTTTTAATATATGTGTAGTGCGACAGGGCCAGGATACTACTGAAGACCAGGTTGCTGAGTTGGTAAGAGTGTTAGTATAATGATCAGGTCCAGGGTTCAAACCTCAATTTGGTCCGATTGTTTTTCACACTCAGAACACAATTGTACATTTTTATAAAAAAAAATATATAAAAGTTTTGCAAGTATGTTTTCCTTTTCCAAAACGATTTATTGAAGCTTAAGTCAGGACAGGAAAAAAACTGTTAAAGCATTGTTACAGTTTTCGGCAGTGGTACAGGTCTTCTTAAAAATTATTTCTTTATATTATGATAGTGACCATACCTAATTGTCACGTGCAATGACTCTACACTTTGACAAAGCCAGGATCACAGACAGTATGGATCAAAACATTACGTAATAATTTACACGAGGCATGGAAAATTGTATATGGGAATTTCTATGGATAGCGACAACTAATACGTTAAAGTGTCTCGTTTATCACACAGAAAAACAAG